GTCATCCAGGTTTGATGTCCTTCCTTTAAAGCTCTTTTCACACCTAACTTGGTTCAAAAGGAAAAAAAAAAGAAGATTGCAGGAAAAAATATTCATGGAGTCCAACAGAAATATCCCAAAAACACGCGGAGTCCCCCGGCGAGGTTGAACGCCATGCCCTTCCGAACCTAAGCTCGGAGATGTAACCAGTGGGCTGCAGGAGGACTCCTTGAATTGGGCAGCAAATTTAGCGGTACCTATATGCACATGAAATGTAGTTTTCATTGACAGCTTAAACTAGCTTTGCAATACGTGCTGTGAAAATTATGAACGCCCTTGCTTAAGTCAGAAAGTTTCTTTTAAATTTATTATTAAATCTTTGCGAAATAGTAAAAAAAACTGAACTCTTCATCAAGATCAGTACTTTTGAAGGTCTTTGCCTATTCTATACAAGCTAATTAAGAACGGCTTATATGAAACAAAGAAATGACAAGATGGGTAAAGTTTAGGGTCATCCAGGTTTGATGTCCTTCCTTTAAAGCTCTTTTCACACCTAACTTAGTTCAAAAGAGAAAAAAAAAAGGATTGTAGGCAAAAACATCAATTCAGTCTAACAGAAATATGAAAAATAAAAAAAACGCGGAGTCCCCCGGCGGGGTTGAACGCCATGCCCTTCCGAACCGAAGCTCGGAAATGTAACCACTGGGCTACAGGGGGACTCCTTGAATTGGGTAGCAGATTTGACGGTACCTATATGCACATGAAATGTAGTTTCTATTGACAGCTTAAACTAGCTTTGCAATACGNTACCTATATACACATGAAATGTAGTTTCTATTGACAGCTTAAACTAGCTTTGCAATACGTGCTGTGAAAATTATAAACGTTCTCGCTTAAGTTAGAAAGTTTCTTTTAAATTTATTATTAAATCTCTTCGAAATAGTAAAAAAGCATGACCTCTTCATGAAGATCAGTACTTTTGCATGTCTTTGCTTATTTCATAAAGCTAATAAAGAGCGGCTTATATGAAAAAAAAAGAAATGGCAAGATGGGTAAAATTTAGGGTCATCCAGGTTTGATGTCCTTCCTTTAAAGCTCTTTTTACACCTAACTTGGTTCAAAAGGGAAAAAAAAAGGATTGTAGGCAAAAACATCAATGGAGTCCTATAGAAATATCGAAAAAAAAAAAAAACGCGGAGTCCCCCGGCGGGGTTGAACGGCATGCCCTTCCGAACCGAAGATTGGAAATGAAAACAGTGGGCTACAGGAGGACTCCTTGTATTGGGTAGCAAATTTGACCATACTTATATGCACATGAAATGTGCTTTTTATTGACAGCTTAACCTAGCTTTGGAATACGACCTGTGAAAATTATGAACGCCCTTGGATCAGTTGGAAACTTTCTTTAAATTTATTATTAAATCTTTGCGAAATAAAAAAAAACTGACCTCTTTATGAAGATCAGTACTTTTGAAGGTCTTTGCCTATTTTATACAAGGTAATAAAGAGCGCCTTATATGAAAAAAGAAATGGCAAGATGGGTAAAATTTAGGGTCATCCAGGATTGATGTCCTTCCTTTAAAGCTCTTTTCACACCTAACTTGGTTCAAAAGGGAAAAAAAAAGGATTGTAGGAAGAAACATCAGTGGAGTCCAACAGAAATATCCAAAAAAAAAAGAAAAACGTGGAGTTCCCCGGCGAGGTTGAACGCCACGCCCTTCCGAACCGAAGCTCGGAAATATAACCAGTGGGCTACAGGAGGACTCCTTGTATTGGGCAGCAAATTTGACGGTACTTATATGCACATGAAATGTGCTTTTTATTGACAGCTTAACCTAGCTTTGGAATACGACCTGTGAAAATTATGAACGCCGTTGGATCAGTTAGAAACTTTCTTTAAATTTATTATTAAATCTTTGCGAAATAAAAAAAACTGACTTCTTTATGAAGATCAGTACTTTTAAAGGTCTTTGCCTATTTTATACAAGCTAATAAAGAGCGGCTTATATGAAAAAAAACAAAAGAAATGGCAAGATGGGTAAAATTTAGGGTCATCCAGGATTGATGTCCTTCCTTTAAAGCTCTTTTC